TTCACACACAAAATATAATATATTTGTCTTTCAGTCTTTTAGAATAATAATCCCCCGTGATAAGTAGACGAGGAAAAATTCTTAATATGCTTACCATAAAATAACAGATAATGATATTAACCTCATGAGGTTTCTACAGAGGCTAGCTAATAAACTGTTGAAAACTCTAGTTAAATTTAAATTTTATTAGGATTATTATATAATCAAGAATATTATAAAATATGAAAAATTAATATAATTTCTTGAGAAAACTAAATCTAAAAATGAGAAAAATACAAAGTTTAACTGTATAACATTTGGTACTTCAAATAATGACCAAGATTACTTGATAGCAAACGTTCAGGTCACATTCCCTGCATGAGGTTTGGGCATAAATAGATTTACTCTCAGAGTATGAACTAACAAAAGCAACTGCAGCAATCATCTTTATTTTACCATTGTCATTACATTGGAAAGAATTTGAAGAATTAAGCACTAGAAATGCTAGACGTTTAAAAAGCCACAAAATTTCATGGCTGAAAATTTACCACTGGCCTTTAAAAAGTGAAATTAGCGTCTCTCATTACAACCGAAGAGCTGGGTCAATATGACATTCTGCCTGTTAAACCATAGGGATGAACAGGAAGAGCGCCTTAATCAAGTTGACATCATGAATATGTATTTATAAATGACAAATGTATGTGCAGAGGGAATTACGAATGGCTGTGCAGGTAAGATCCAGATGACAAATGTGGAGAAAACCATACAGCAATATCAAAAATTTTAGACCATTAAAAATGCAAAGGACGACTTTTAAAAAGAAGCCATCCATCTGATTTCAGAGGCTAGAAATCTAAAATTTGGTCATATTAGCACTCCTGGAACAAAATTGTATGTATTATATATGATTACCTTGATCAAAGATGCAGGTGCAAAATTCATGCCGTCTGTTGAGGATAGAATATAATATTGACTTACATTTCTGACATGTTCAGTTTTTTCAAAATGTTTATTTCAGAAAATTTCTCTGAAATGGAAATCTTTCTGTTTCAATTCTATGTAATAAAGAATTGCTAAATCTATTTTCCATTAATTTTTGCCATCTTTCACACTCTGGAACAACTGCTGTGACCCTTTGCCAACTATAATCCCACAGACTATCAAGCACCTGTGACACTTTGTTTCGTTTCGTTTTTCATGTTCCCTATTTGCATGTAGTTTGGGTTTGGGGAGCTCACTTTATGTGGGAAACCCGCATAACACCACAGCTGCAGTAAAACATACTCTCACTGTTTTACAATCATCATTCCTGTGTGACTTACAGAATGAGAGTTTTTTACTCTCAACGACTGCCAAAGAACAGATTCTCAACTTATTATTCCAAATGGGAGCTATCCCTCACCTCAGAGTCATACCGCCTGTATCCTTTTTGGAATTAAGAGTATGTGTAAACAAAGTGCACATCCTTCTGATGAGTCCCTGCATGCGTTCGTGTTGGGGTTACAGAACCTTCTACACATGAAACAACTTCAAGGCTGGGATACGACCACCATCAGACAGCCCAGCCCTTGTGCGTTTTTGAGCCATGGGCAAGCAGTTGAAAGGTAATGACTTCTTAATGACCTCTGATGTTTTGTTCCCATGTTTGGGGGTGTTCACTACTACAATAACACTTCCTTTCTGCCAAAGTCTACATGCACCTCCCGATTCTGGAAATGAATGACAATGAAAATGTGGAACTGCTGTGTGGGGTGTTTGAGCAATGCAGACCACGTAGCAACAGCCGGTAGAATGCACAAACGAAGCAGCAAAATAGTAGCACCAGTTAGACCCAGAAGAGACTTCGAGAAAGCTCAGCATATCAGGTCAAGTGATGTGGCACTTTAAGCCACTAGAATCTGTTGAAGAAGTGAGAAGTGACAGAATTGGATGAACAGCTGGGGATATAGCTCAATGGCACAAGTGCCTGCCTAGCAAGTGCAAGGTCCTGAGTTCAATTCCTGGTACCAAAAAAAAAAAAGAATTGGATGAACAACAACACTAAAGAATCTGCCCACTAGAATCTGATTCAAAATAAGAAGCTAGCTCTTCGGACTCCTCTGTAGCGGCAGCCTAGGACTCAGGAAGGTGGACGCCGCCATATGGAGACTTGCAGGCCAAAGTAATTTGGATTTTACCCTGACAGCAAGGGAGGCTATTTTAAGAACCTGAGACAAAAGAAGCAATAAAATGTAAGTTATATTTAGAAAGTGACACTCTGGCTATTTTGAGAAGAGTTTATGACAGCAATGCAGACCAACACAAAGGCTATTGCTGGCGTGGAGGAGAGGGGGTTATGACTGCACTGAAGGAATGTTAGAAAATGAGAAACGTCCCTGGACTTTATACACATTTGGAGAGAATAGGCAACATTTCCGGCTGTGCTGAACTGTTGGGATTAGGGGAGGTTTTAAAAAATTAACCTACATTAAATATAAAAAATAATGAAAACTGTCACTTACTGTCAAAGCTGAGAGTGAAAGATTCAGGCTCCAGCGTCACAGCTTTAGAGATAGGCCTGGCCCTCACCACAGTGAAAACCTCTTTCAAATTATAAGACAAAAAGTTTATTTTCAGCTGTAAGGAGCTGCCTGTTGTGGAGTGTTAATTTGGGGCTGCCACCTCATTATCTAGTCCTGCTGGATGTCACAGAGCCGTTACAAATATCCATCATGGAGAAAATGCTCGTTAGACACTGCAAATTTATGTACTTGGGGAAACAGTACCTTTAAAAGTGAATACTTAAGAGTAACACGTGTAGTTTCAGGGTGGAAAACTCCTGGAAAACTGCCATGATCTCTTCTTTTACTGCAACATTTCCCAAAGTGTTTTCTGTAGGATGGGAACAGATTACATATAAACAAGCTTCCTTATCTAATAAGTTCTGAAAAATATTATGCAAGATTTCTTAGTGTTTTCCTGTGCTGATCTGCACAGGGGGTCTTGGAGAGCTACACAGGGGGTCTTGGAGAGCTACACAGCATTTTCCAGGCTGTGTCTTTCTGAGAAAGAAAAGAGAGACTGTGGGCTCTGAGATGCAGTTTGGCCTTGGGTCTTCCTGAGATAATGAAGGTGACAGGTGATGTTGCTTTTTGCTGAGGTAAGATCAGATCTCTCTGTCTCTGTAGTTCCTGTCTATTTCTTTTAAATTTATTTTAAGAATAAAAGAAGGAAAACATGTTAACAAACACACATCCATTTACAAAATAGCATGAGAACAATACAAGCAATACAGAGCTACAGATAAAGTGGTGGGAAATTAACCATGGTTGTTGTATTACGTATTGATATCTTCGAAGTGATTTCTCAGGAAAACAAATAGAGACATGCAAAATTGATCCAATAATTAATCATTAACTGCTCCTTTCAGTAAAGCGATAGAAGTCAGTAGTACAACTATGTTAACTATCCTGTATATGCACACATACATAATTTCCCCTTCTTTCTTTTCTCTTTTTCCTCACCCCAGTTGCTCTTTAGTTCTTGTCTATTTAAGAACACTCTTGCCTCTGTGAGCTAAAAATATGTTGTACTTTTCTTTGTTCTCCACGTTCCCTGCCCTGTGGGCTTTCTCTCACATGTGAAGGTGAGATGAGAGGGCCAGGTTTGGTCCTGCTCAGGAGGGCGCCTGGGCTGAGGCCTGGTGTGAAAATCTCTTGGTATCTGAACAAATTATCTGGATTCTTGTTCTAGTCCTCATGGTTATTTGCTTATTCTCTGTCAATTAAATTTATTTTTCCTATCAGAAAACAGAATCAGTCAATTTGATGCCAATATATAGTGTTTTAGTTGTCAATTTAAAAAATATTTCTTAAAGCTATTATCCCATCACACCTCAGTGAAAGGAGTCACTGATGAGGAGGTAATCTGCTATTTTTCACAACCCTTGGGCTGTAACTGCTTGTTAGATCTCTCTTGCATATCTTTGTTTTCCTGAGAAACCACTTTGAAGATACCAACATGTATTTCAGCAGCCATTGATAATTTCCTACCAATCTGTCCATAACTCTGTAATGTTTGTATTGTTCCTATGCTATTTCATAACTGGACGTATGTTTGTTACTATGTGTTTTCAACAACAACCATTGATAATAGTCAATGATTATTTAATTGATCCCTCATGTATAGCTCTATTTGTTTTCCCTAGAAATCACTTTGAAGAAATCAAAGTATAGTACAACAACCATTGATAATTTCCTTCCATTTTTGTCTGTAACTCACTATTATTTGTCTATTTGTTTTCCTGAGAGACTATTTTGAAGATACTAATAGGTAAAATAACAACCATTGATAATGTCCTACAACTTTGTCTGTAATTCAGTAAATCCCCATATTACTATGTTATCCTTCTTTTACTTTTAAATAAATTTTTAAAAAATAAAATAAAATAAAATAAAGCTATTAGATGCCTTTGTTTACCTGGTTATCTCCACCATCTAAACAAAGCCTCCCAGAGAGCCTTGGAAAGTAATTCTTTAGGAATTGTTCTCCAATTGTCTCTTTCTTATTATAAGCATTGTCTTCATAGTAAACAAACTTCAAAAAATTACCTGTCTGTTGCCCACGTCCCAAACTCTTAATTTTAACACCTCCTTTAAAAAGTTTTCCAAATTTGTGTATGTTGTCCTTCTGAGGAATAATCTGCTCTGTTTGACACTAGTCCTCGCATACTCACTAGACAATACTCTCACTGAGGGAAGTACAGGGGGAGATGTGTATCTTGGTGTTCTTAAGAAGCTGCAAAATAGTGAATGTAACTGGACAAAAAAAAGAGCAAAAAGTGAACCAATGAATGAATGGATGAACTGACCAGTAAAATAAGCCATACATGTATATATTTATAATCACTTTCTGATCCACAGTTAATGACATCACTCCTTTTCCTTTACTCTAGCGGTAGCTTTCCATAGCAAATCCTGATATTGGTGTCTTCTGTCCTAATCTACATCACCTGTCGTCTACCTTGTCATACTTACTCATCTGCCAGATTATTTCATTCTTCCATTGGAAAATGCTCAGCAACTCCCAGTGATATGATACACAATGTGATTCAGACAGACATGCTCTGACCTTCTGTCTTGTATTATAAAGATGCTCATCACCTGGAATGGAATGAGATAACCTCTCAAGCTATCTTTTATGGTTTCTCTAATTCATCACTAGTCTGATTTGTTCTATAAGCTCTTTCTTTGTGCAAGCAGATTACCTAGACCTATTTTTATTTTCTGTTCATGACCACCATGACTTCTTCCAATTATTCTCTATATCATGACAGGTGAGCTTTAACCTTCACCATTCACTGGCCTATTCTCTGCACTATTTTATTTTATTTTATTTATTTTAATTTTATACAGTTTAGGCTCCTTGTGAACTCACTATGTAGCGCAGGATGACCCTTAACTCACAGCAATCCTCCTGCCTCAGCCTCCCAAGTACTGATCAGGGTCACAGATACACACCACCACACACAGTTTCTCTGTACACTTCTTAAGTCAACTTCTAAGAAGGAATCTCACTGGCTCAGTTCAAATATTTGCACAAAGCCCTGGATTGGTATCCCTACTTCTCTTCTTTATTCTTTGAGCATGGAAGGGACGTGCGGTTTAATGGGTAAGAAAGATTGCCTAAGGTCCACTCCATTAACAGCTATGGACCAGTTATTATCTGAGGATTGTTTGTGGAATGAAAGTAGTTCTGAAGCAAATCTGCATAGCTAGTTATTGCTACCTGTGAGTTCTTGTGCAAGTTTCTTAATCTCTTGTTTCCATACCTTCCTCATTTGTATACTGGGGTTGCTAACAGAACCAAACTTATGAATTGTTGCAAGCATTACGTCTCTGCCTCTCTCTCTGTCTCTCTGCCTCTGTCTCTGTCTCTGTCTCTGTCTCTGTCTCTCTCTCTCTCTCTCCATATATAACCTGGTTAGAATTTTAGCTGGCTCCTAAAAAGAGCTATAATAGGCTGAAGTACTTACTATTATCTAAGGCTGTCAAGACCCAAATTAAATGAAGCCTTCAAGGGCCGGGGATTTAGCTCAGCGGCAAAGCGCCTGCCTGGCAAGCGCAAGGTCGTGAGTTCGGTTCCCGGTACCGGAGAAAAACCAAAAAACAACAACAACAACAAAAAAAAATAAATGAAGTCTTCAACCAAAATTTATCCACACTCCACTAAGCCCATCCCCTGAAAAGTTAGAGTGACTATTCCTCCTTCTCCTCTGAGATTGACCCCCTTTATTTTCCTCTCTGCTTTTCTCTCCTCCATATTCTTATATGTTTCACTCACCTGAGAATGACACAATATCACAAATGTGCTCAATTAACTCTTCTTGAGGGGAATTTCTAGCTTTTGATTATGCATTTTTGAAAAATGTGTTTTCTTTCACTGTTCTCCAAAGACATGTATCATAACAAAGAATGCAGTAAGCTCTTGCACTTTTCTTATACCTTGCAAACATCTATTCTGAACATGTAGGTCAGTTTTTCATTTGTTCCTTGAGCTTTCACTATTAAAAGTATAAGTCTACTTCCTTATTTATTAGCCAAAGATAGAGTTAATGGTCACAGAAAATACCAGCAAATTCTGATGTTCCAATTCACTGTGTTTCTATATCATATATAATTATTTTATTAAAGACTTGCAACTGCTTAATTTAGATAATTGAAATAAAATGTCCAATTCAGTGTTCAAAGGATTAATTACTTGCATGTGAGCACAAAGGAGAATATTAACTCTAATACAGCTGATGATTTGTAAATACTCATTAAACTTCATCTGTAATAATAATCAGTTTTATTTTGTCATATGAAATACTTTTTAAAGCAAGCTTAGTTTCCAATGTAATTAATCTTTTAGAAAGATGAAAGTGAACTGGTCAGATGATGTACACTGTTTAAAATGCAAGCTCTAATAAAGGGAAAAAAGATTCTTCAAGGTAGAACCAACCCATTTTATGCCTAGTAATGATCAACATGTAGATTCTGATCACTCTCTCTTTTAAAGCACAACATATATTTTGGATTCAGACTGGAAACATACATCTCCACTCCTTTGGGTTATCATATATTGTGAAGGAGTTTCAATGTCCAGAGATGCACTGTACTTCTAACTGTCAAGGTTTTTTGAAAAAAATCCCCAAATGTTTCCCTATCCAATTCAAGACTCCATTTGTTGATTAAAACATGAATTCTTATATGACAGATGAGAATGAAGAGGCATCTCAGAAAGAGGAAATAGCATTGTGCAAAGTAAGAGAAAACTTTCATACGGCTCAAGACATCAGTGCCGTATAAATTAATCCAGTCAGTGCTTTTTGACACTGAAATAAACTTCACAGAAAAAAGCTGTGACTCTGTTTACAGTAAACTGAAAAGTGGCAATTCCAGGGACAGTGGGGAAATCCGCAGCAGGGCTGGAACGCAGGCTGTGTCAGGAGCCAAGCCAGGAGTCGCGCAGCACCGGGTCATTTCCACAGCCGGTCTCACACCCTGCCGTGAGAACATCTGGACTCTGCCCTCACACACCTAGACCCTCAATGCCGCACGGCCAGGTGCACCACACCACCGCTGCTGCAAGCGGGGACCCCCACTGTCCCTCCAGCACCCTCCTCTGAGCAGTGTCCCCCGTAAAGCCTGCACTGCAAAGCCTGTGTTTCACAAGTTGAAAGATAAATATTATTTTAATATATTCAATGAATTCCAAGTCATCTCTATAAACTATTATGAATTTTGAAGTAAATATTATAATGTTAAGTAATATTCAGCACACATGGGGCGGGTATATGGCTATTTGTAAGACTTCTCCCATTTTCATTATATGTAGCTAAAGAAAGAACCTAAAAATGATCCAGGGGGGAAGAAAAGCAATGATATTTTTAATTGGGGTTTTCCAGCAGGGAATACAATCAAGATAATTCAGGAAGGAAGATAATTGGTAATTCTATAAGTAAAAGATTTATAACTTAATAATGATCAATTCAACACAGAAGTGGTAATCCTTTAAATGTGTGAATTTTCTTTAAATATGTAAGTACAGCCTTACTGCGGTGGTTTATGCCTGTAATCTCAGCACTCAGAGGCGGATGCAGGAGGATCCTCAATAGTTTGAAGACAGCCTAGGTTACAGAGTGGGTTCACAGGAGCTGGGGATTTAGCTCAGCGGCACAGCGCGTACCTGGAAAGCGCAAGGTCGTGAGTTCGATTCCTGGTACCGGGAAAAAACAAAAAAACAAAACAAAAAAAAGACCTTGCCAGAATTAACAAACTAATTAATTATTAAATATTTAAGTATGTCGTGCATTAAGATATTTGATATATACAAATGTTTAAAAAGGAAGCAATTCAATTTTGGAATAGTGACTTTGAGGCCATAATATTCATATCAATAAGATGTATTCTGTATTATTTTTTCCAGTAGTGATGAAAAACTTAGGGGAATGTCCTCCTACGTGACCAAGAAAAACCGTGTCAGCCAGCTGCTGTGTCTGAAAAGTTAGTCTGGAAATTCAGAGCAGCCATCGGACACTTGGACATCACATACTGCATCTCAGAGTCCAGATTTACTGAACTGTGCTATGATTCGTAAATGCTCCTGTGCTATTTGTTCACTATTTCATAATGAGCATTATGAGTGCAGTTCTAACATTAACACTGATTGGTTTTCGTTTCCATTCACAGTTGAGGTATAAGGACAAGAGCAAGGCTGTGTGCTAGAACTTCACTTCCTCACTGGAGAGGTTCAACATAAGTACTAACTACCCTGCTTAACTTGACAAGAGTTTTTGAATACTAAAAGAGCATTTCTTCCATCTTTTACATTCTATTCACATTTTAAAATACACAGAGCCCACATTCTTTTAAATTTAGACTTAACTACTAACATTTAAACACATTATCTATAATTTGAGAATTTGAATTCAAATTTGTAAGTTTATCAAGATATTTCTAGTAGGTGCATATATCCAGTTTGCACATGGATTAAGATGTGAGCCTATTTTTCCTTCTTCTTTCACTAAATAAGTTTAAATGAGATAAATGGTTACAAAGATATTCTATAATGATATTTTATGTATTTATAAACAAAGCAAGATATTATTTTATAATAGACAGTTTATCTGCCACTTTATTAAAAAGTTTTGAGATGAGAGAAATGAATCCACAATAAGCAAGTAAAGCTGCAATTCTGGATTTCTTTCTGGTCAGAGTGTTTTTATTTTTTTTATTTTTTTTTTTTGGTTTTTCTCCGGTACCGGGAACCGAACTCACGACCTTGCGCTTGCCAGGCAGGCGCTTTTGCCACTGAGCTAAATCCCCAGCCCCCGGTCAGAGTGTTTTTAAAGCTAATGAATATATAGATAAAGGTACAGTATTTTCAATTAAGTAATAAAGATTCAAAATTTAGAATAAAAAATGCACATGCACACATGTGAACTGAATTTCCATATGATGCAAATATTAATTTATTTTACATGAATACCAAAAGATGCTAAATTTATTTTCTATAGCACAAATCAACTCACAGTTCAAATAAATGAGATGTACACCAAAATAACTAATATCGTGTAAAATTTCCTATGTTTTACCAGCAAATTAAACCAAAGCATCTAATTAGTCCTGTATGTTTAAATGGAGAAAACCAGATTTAATTATTTGCTTTCTAGCTTTTTATTTTTGCAAGACATGGCTAATTAAAAGTTGTGATATACTCTGCCAATAAAATCCAGCAGACTGCACTTTGGAAACAGGTAATTAAGGTAAAATATAAGACACACAAAATTCTATTTTGAGCTTTTCATCAATCAGACATAGAAAGTAAGATAAATATTTGAATCAAATGATAATTTAAAAATACACATGCTATTTGAAATTTTAAAAAATTAAGACCAAATTGCTTCATTATTTAACAGATGTAGCACTGTTAAATGCTAACTCACAGAGAAAAATTCTGTCAGATGGTATGAAAGGCAATCATACTGAAGCAAAGCAATTTGAAATCATTATCCAAATTCGTACCTAAATTACATACATTATCCCAAACTCATGCCTGAAATGCACGCTTAAAAACAGCAAACATGAACAATACGTGGTGACTGTAGGTAATAATACACGCTATTCTTGCAACATGTTAAGAAAGTGGATGTATAGCATTTCATCACAAAAGTGACAGCTAAATGAAGTAGGGCATATTCATTAGCTAGATTTAGTCAGTCACAATGTATGCATACCTTAAAACATCATGTTATATGTGGTAAATTCATATAATTTTATCTGTCAATTTAAAGCCTACATAAACAATAAAAAGTATGTTAACAGCATCAGAAAGAATAATATAAATATATTTTCTATTTCCTAGGCCACAGTTTAAAGCAATGGCAAAATATAGAAAAACACCGTAATACGCATATGCTTGGATTTTCCAAGATACCAATATCTGAACTTTCTTCCAATCTGGAAGGATACATCCTTCATTGGAATTGTCATAGGAGGTAATGTTTTGAATTCAAAAACATGAAAGCCAAAGAATGAAATATCACCTTCCTTACAACTATACATTACAGTTAGAGGCATGGTTTATGGTTAGATATCTGATACTATTTTAGAAATCTTGGTGGTGAGGGGAAGAGATGAACAGAACTCTGCGGCAGTGTCCTCCTGTGGCTGTAGAAATGTCCAATTATCAGTTGTTAATAGAGCTGTGACTACAGCCATCCGAGCTTTATCAGCATCTGCTAATGCCTTAAGCTTGATTTTACAAATATTTCATTGGTTACAATACTTAACGCATAGCCACCAAAAGTTCATTTTGAACTTGGAGTTGTTTTCTCTTGCTTAAAGCAAAACATTCATGTACATTTAAGAAGAAGAAAGTAAAAGTCTGTGTATAGCAAATGAAAGCTAATGCTAAAAGAACATTACAACAAAATAAATAATGTGCTTCAAGAATAGCAGAGAAACATAAATAGAAAAGGCTAGGGAGTCCTACAAAATGACCTGACACATAGCAAACATAGCAAGACTGTGTTAACAACCTTATGATTAATCCATAAAAATTTTTTTGAAATAGATGTAATACTACACATTATTTAAAGAAAAAGAAAAAAGTGAGGGGGAGAGATAGAAGGTTTGATAGTCTTCAGAGAAAAATAATAAAGGGCATGTGGCATTGCTTTGGAAGGGGAAAAATTTTAAATGACAGTAGAGCAAAGCTGAAATCAGGTTACCATATGTTCACAAAACTGTTTGAAAATAGAAAGCCAAAAGAAAGAAATGCAGGTAACTTAGTAGGTTTAATAAGGAGTCAATACTCTATACATTGTAGAGTAGGAAGCCAGAGATAAACTTTATCGGACCTAAGTCGCAAATGAAAATAACACCTTTGACAGTAAATTGCAGAGGCAGAAGCTGAATGGCTGAGAAGAATAGCATTTTGATGATTATCTTGTGATGCGATAGTTACACAACTAGTTCTAGAAGAAACACCCTCCAGGACAATCTAGCAGGTGACACAGGAGGGCAATCTGGGAAGAACTACATAAAGAAGCAGCAAATTTTATAGACAAATGTATATGCCAGTCCTAAGAGAGATGCATAAAATATCACTTTATGTTCTAGCTTGAGGTGTCAAGTGAAATGACAATTTTTCTTTCAGTTAGCAGAATGTTCTCCAAGTAGGAAATCTGCTGGGAGAATTTAGCCTCATCTTGTGTAGCTGGAGAATACAACAGATAACTCAATCAAATTTGCAGTATAAGCAGACACTATAATAAAAGGGACACAAAATATGAGTGTGCAGTGGTGAGGATGGAATTGGATTTATCACTAAGTCAGCAGGCTTGAATCGTGGGATATGATGGATTCTAGTCACTTAGGCCTCATGGTATACCTCATATACTTGCTGTTTCACTAGATAAAACCTTTTGTTCACACAGAAATAAGGGAAAAAATAATAATCTCACAGTGGAACTCAAAAGAATAAGACTCAGACATGTGCAGTGGAGCATGTCTGTAATCGCAGCTACTCAGTAGGCTGAGGCAGCAGGTTTACAAATTTCAGGCGATCTTGGGCAACTTAGAAAGACCCTGTCTCAAAATGGGAAAAGTAAAGAAGAGCTAGAGATATAGCTCAGTAGGAGAGTGCTCCTGATTTCAATCTTCAGTAACATACACACACACACACACACACACACACACACAACTCATCAAGTATTACTAAAATCTGAAAGCTGGAGAAATTATTTCTTTTCTTATTTTCAATGTTATACTCTGTCACATGTCAATTTTTGTATTTGAAGCATTAAACTTCATAAACAGAGTCCCTGACACAAGTTTACTGTACATTCTGATTGAATACTTTATCCTGATATTTAATGTACAAGGTCATGCTTGGATACTACTTCCATAAATATCTATCAGTCTATGAGTATCTGCCATAGGTTAACCAATCTATGATTTAAAATAATAGAGAATTGCATTCTGTCATACTTAGAATCCCTCACTCTTAGTTAAGCAGACAATAAGGTCGATAAGTAGATATGGTTCACACTATCTTCAAAGTTTGAGGGAATTTTTGAAAGAAAGTATTTTGTTTTTATTTGTACTTTGGGTGTAGACAAGAAAATTTCAAGAAACAGAACTGTATGTGTGAAAGCTTCAAAGGAAAAATAAAAAAGCTAGAGGCACACCAAAGAGTAAACGGGAGAGACAGAGAAAGATAAATAAAGGGAAACAGCCTGAGATAAGTAATTTGAGGTAAAACTTCACAAATGAGTCATGGCGAACCTTCCAGAGCTTTCAGTACTACAAACAGCCTACTGCAGCTTGCATGCCATAGGTTCGCCACGACTGTAATAGATTTATTGAAGGATTTGAATTCTATCTTAAGTACAATGAGAAAAGATTGAGAAGTAGAAAATAGTGGTTATATATGAAAAATAATAGTGGAGAATATAAATAAAATCAGAATACTAGAAATAATTTTGCCATGGTCAAAGAAAGATAATGACAGCTAGAATTGGGTAGCGAATGTGAAGTCAGAAAGTGAATAGATAAAAAGTACAAGGATTTACTCAGGAATTTCATGTGCTAGTTCAAGGAGAGGGACAAATAATGGCAGATAATAACAGGACTTCTGGCTTGACCAACTAAGTGGGCAGGAGTGTCAGTAGTACAGGAATATCAGGAACTCAGTATTGAAATGGAAAATCTTACATGACTGTGATTCATAGGAACAGGAACATAAGAAGACAGCTGGATACACAGGACTGTCATAGCCTGGAACTTGCTAAGGAGTCATGACATCTAAGTCTAATATGGTACCCTGGTAAAGCAAAAGGAAAGTCAGTTAACAACTAAAGAAATCTGAAGGCAGTTTGGGCTTCTTTTAATCCAAATGTATCAATATTATTTCACTAATTGCAATACCTTTAACATAGTGATAGAAGATGTGAACAAGTGGAAAATCAGTGTAGACCTCATAAGAACTGTTCATAGAACATTGCAACTTTTCTGTAAAGGGAAAACTTCTGAGACATAAGATGTATTTGAAATTTACATAAAAGAGGACATTATCCTCGGAAAGTAAAAACTGCACTCTCAGAAATTTGGAAGAATAAAGCATGTATTTTAGAAAGGATATTCCGATTGTACACAAAGCAGTAAGGCTGTTGTGTAAAATTTAAATACAGCCGAAAGCTAACTCTTTTTACCAAAAATTCTTTCATCCTCTAAATATATTAGATATACATTCTTTTGAAGAGATGTGTCAGCAACTTCTGCTTCTTAAATAAATTATTCCCAAACACAATGACTTTCTTTGTAGTTCTCCTCTGTTGCTGATTCCCTTTACCATTTTAATGAAGAATGTGCTGTTATTGCTTTTACTTATGTCACTGCTTTTCAAAACAATATGTTGCATTATTACAGTCCCCAAATAACTAGCAAGAAAAATATTCCCATTTCACTAAGGAAATACCACCACGCAAGGTATGCACTTTCTTTAATTACCTGAAGAAAGCATTTTACCTAAACAAGTCAGCTTACCACTTTCTGTTAAAAAATAATGCTACAAAACTTGCCTATTGGTATAATGTCTACACAGATACATATAAAGGGTACTCTCTTACCCATATAGAGCTTAAAATGCATTTATTTTTGATCTGCTAAGTTTAAAATGTCAGCTATGAATGAAAAAATATGGAGCAAAAAGAAAAAATGTGTCTTTATGATTAAATATTGCTATGTGTTTTGTATATACATAATTAAAACCAAATATAATTTTTGAAAGTGAATACTTGGGTACATACAAGAATTCCAAATTAGTTGCTGATTATTTTACTTGCACTGATTTTTTTCTCTTGCTCACCCAGTGAAATACTAAAATAAATATTACAGGAAGTGAGGCTTGGTTTTTACCAAGACTCCAACATTTGTCAAAGTAATGTAGGATTAAACATTTGGTAAACTCTGAATGGTTTATAAAAGGTAATGAAGAACTGTATTTTCACCCCTGTGGGTTGTGGCTAAGCAGATGAATAGCAAAATTGCTTAAGACATTTTTAGATCAGCTTTCATAAAAGCAGAAATGAAACAAAATTGAAATGTTCAAAAAGGGTTACATTTCCACATGCAGCTTCTGGTCATTAAAGGAAAATCCAGCTCCTGTTTCTGCTACAGAGCAGCATAGGAAGACTCAGCAGAGCTTTTAAAAGTTAATTCCCCTTTTAAGCTTTCACTTTGCCAGCCCAAGCCTTAAGCACCCACCTCTACTTCTAAAGCCATTTTCCCCTTTTTAAGATATAATAACATTAAACTAGATTATCAGATCTTCAAATTTCCTAATGTGGATGTTTCTAAAGAGGGTGTGATTAGAGGACATTTTCGCAATCCACCACCATTTGTCCAATAAACATGGTAGCAATTCCAGTTTTCTTTTTACACATATATAATAGTACAAAATGCAGAAGTAGGAGAGAAAAAGAGCTGATGTAAAATGGCACTGATTAGCATTATCAAGAATGCCTGAACTCTGCTTTTAAATAAATCCTATTGATGGTTTAATTCTATTTTCAATTACCATTTTAGATTCATCACAAGGAGTTAGGACCCTGAAGATCTCTATACTTGTGCTGTTCCAAATTGCTTTCAATTCTGGGAACAAGGATGAAGTTTTTACCCTCTGAGCTTTTTATATACTCTTCCTCTGTCTTCTCTTCCTGCTAAATCTTATTTATCATGCAAATATTGGCTCAAAAACCTCAGCCATTCTTGATCCCCAAATTTGGGTTATATGGTCTTTTTGTGCAGGTCTCACAGAACATAGCACTTCCATTATTAGGGTACATACACTGTTGTGAAATTGCCTGCATAGAAAACCCTATGAATACATGAAATAGAGAGATATTAAAGAAGTGGTAGGCCTACAACATTTACTGTTTTGGTATATGCATTATTTATTTTAAGCCTCCTTTTTCTATAGATTATTTTTTCCTTTAATTTCAGATGAAACTGATTCATTAGACTGGCAAATTTACACTATTAACAGTTTCTCACAGGCAATGGTCATTCCTATAAATTTAACTATTGCAATGTGTTTTAGAATAAAATATGTTTTTTTCCCTGAGAAATTGTGTTTGTCCTTTATCTTCTGGATAAAGTACAGGAGTATGAGGAGGAGGAGGAGAAGACAAATAGCTATTCTTTTTATCTCCCTCTGTTGATATATTTTCAGTGTTAAACAAGAATTTATTTAAAGAATGAAAAGTTAATGATTGCACAAGTATTCGTGCCTGTCCTGGACTTTCTGCACCTTCAAACAATACAACACACTTGCCTGATGACTTAAAATCTTCAGTGGTGGATCACATGACAGAAAATAGCAGAACAAGATCCTAAACAAGCTTTAAAATTCATTATGAGAAACATTCAAAAGCATCCTACTCAGAAACACAATGTCAAGCATAGATAGTATTGTACTTAAATTATAAATTCTATTATGATAATTGGAATGTGTTTTTACTTATGCAAATTTGCAGTGACAGTTTTATTCCCCTATTTTCTGGAATTCTAAAATGGAAAATTCATTTTGAATCCAGAAATGACAGGAATGACTTTTATTTATTAACCGACACTCTCTTTTGCTTTTATGTCTTTGAGTCACATATTCTAGCTCACGGTCTTGCTTTATCTGCCCAGCAGAAAAACACATTTTCAAAACAAATAAATAGTGGTTTCATAAAAATGCAAATAGGAGCAGATATCTCGCTGACTAAGAACCATCCTGTGGCTCTGCATTGTTCTTGGTCTCAATTCCAGTTATTTTGAACCAGCTTAAACCTTGCCTTCCTCAGTTCATCTAATGCCAATTTTCTCTTTGCCTTCTAGATTTTAGCTATATTTCTCTCTTTCACTCAGACGTCGATGTCCCTTCTGGCCTGAGAACACGAGCAACCCCCCCTTCTCCTGGACTACCTCATGTACTGACTGAGCCTCACTTTAGTCACTTCTTGGCACAGGGACTCAGTACCCACTACCCACAACTTACAGGGGGACAGATTCATTTTGCCTCACATTTTTAGTCCGTGTTTTGTCGGCTCCGAGGCAGAAATGTAGTGATGCAAGAATCTGGAGGAAGAAAGCTGCTCATTTCATGGTGTCCAGGAAAAAGGGACCGAAGAGAGGAGTCATCGAGGGAGACACGCCCTTCCGGGTCACCTCCTAAGGGCACGTTTAACTGTGAAGTCATCAAAGCATTAACCCACTGATGAGTTCAGGGTCCCCATCAGCCAATCATCTTCCAAAAGCCCCATCTCTGAAAACGAGGCTTTTAGAGAACATTCTAGATCTAAACCATAACAGTGTTCTTTGTGTTATTATTTGATTTGAGACTTTGACCCGCATCTGTGTTTAAGTATTCTGACAACACAGGTCTGTTTTGTTTATTATCAAATTCATGATGTTTAGCCCAGGGCCCGGCCCTTGCAAAGCCTAGAAGTATTTACTGAATGTTTGAAAGCATGACTTAAGGGTGCAACAGAGTTGGAAAAGTAAAACTGGACTGAACATCATGAGTAGAAATGAGGATTGTGCATTTTCTTCAATAATATTTATAACTTGGGTTCATAATCTATTTTGTATTAAGTGTTATAGATGGCAAGAGGTTAGAATACAAGCTCAAGTTTTGCATATAGATAACCAGTTGCCAGTTGTCCCGGTACCACTTGTCAGAATGTTCCCAAGTTACCTTTTCCCATTATTTGCCTTTATACTTTCATTAAAAATAAGTTTTCCAAGTTTGTGTAGTTCTCTGAAATCTCTGTTCAATTTATCTATCTTGACAACAGTATTACTTTGTCATGAATACTGCATCTTTAAAACAAATAATAAAAACATGATTAGTTCTCTAATTTTCTTCTCATTTCACATTATTTTAGGTATACTAGGGCCTCTGTATTTCTATACAAAGTTTAGAATCATTTTGTCATTTTGTACAAAAATGTCGGCTGAGTGTTTGACGTAGATTGCCTTGAATCTGCATATCAATTTGGGAAAAATTGAGATCTTAACAACACTGAGCTTTCTCACCCATGAACAAGTTATTTATCTCTATTTGGGAATATTACAGTACCATTTTATAGACTTTATTATGCATCTGTTTCATCAGATTTCTTTCCCAATATTTACTATTTTATGAATTTTGAGTTCACATATGTGCTTACTGTCAGCATATAGAAACATTAATTTTCATAAAATAATTTTGTATACTGCATTGTCTGCAAACTCAACTATTAAAAACTCAACTATTTTAAGTAACTTTTTGTAGGTTCCATTGGATATTCTATATAACTATTCTGTAAATGTTTGACATGATTAAATCTTCAGGAATAAAAGTACTATATTTCCTAAAACAATCTAGTCTGTACCATTTTTCACATTCAAATTATTCCTCTAAGCTTTTAACCCTGAGAAAGTAAATCTAAGCTAGCATGTGTATTTCACAGGCATTTTATTGAGCTCTTTTAATTTGATACATGTATAAATGCTTTTTGACTATTGTCTAATATGTGATAAAATGTTTAATCACTGCTAAAAGTTATAAAATAACTCTCAGTTTACCTCATAACTAGATAGTAATGATGTTTTAAAATGGATATAGCTTCAGTGATAATAACATATAGCTCTGTTTTAATTTGTAGGTAAAAAGTGTTATAGACATAAATCTTAATTTATAAAAATAAAGCTCTTTTGAGTCACTATAGCAAAAACTAATACAATGATTTTAGCATTCATATAAGGCAAAAAATGATCCTCGTAACTCACTAGCAGGTAACTTCCCCCTACTCCTTACCTTAACTCTTTGGTAGGTATCTTGATAGTTATCTGTATGTTTTTGAAAAGAATAGAATTTACAGATTCATTAATGTGTAGCACTGTGTTCAACTATAATTCATGATAAGAATTTTATTTTCAAGCTTCCAGAAGTTATGCCTAACCTTCGCAATGTGACCAAAGGCATTTAGAGAGTTAGGAATTCTATTCCATAAGATAAGTTTCTAATATATACATCACTCTCTTCCTAAATTTCCTGAATGCTGTGTTGCAGTGGTTGTGCACCTTTGTATTCCTATAAAGAAAAAATCAGAATTTTCAAGAAGTCTCTTCTCCTGGTTCTTTGAAGTAAAGTCTATTTTATGAGATACTTCCACCTAACAAAATAAATTTTATGCATTTATCAATCTCATAGTCCAGGAAGGATCAACAAAAATGTAAGCAAATGAATGCATAAAGTGTGGCTTGTTAATAATGCAAAAAAGTACTAGCACCTACTTTACATTCATTTATTCATTAAATGTCTATTAAGATTGCAAAGTACTAGGATATTTTCTACATCTTAGAGAAAAAGTTGATGAGGAAAAGAAATAAAGATATTATTCTCAAGGAGTGACCTTCCAGAAGTGAAGACCTAGGAAGAGGAAATGCCATATTTTAGAAATTTATTGATAGTGAAAGCATAAATAAAACTGAAAAATCAGCCTTTAAACTGTTTGAGACGGCAGAGGAGATGTCACTTTACATACCACCACCAGGGAAGATATCATTGAAATAATGCTCTTGGAAAAATGAATTGAAGGAAGTGTTTTGAAGGAAATTTTTGGATATTTGAAGTACAAATGAGAGAGAGAGAGAGAGAAATTGAGGGTGTACACACATACATATTGGGATTTTTATTGCTGACACGACAAATCACCACAAATTTAGCAGCTTAAAAACACTGAAACACAGTACTATCTTATGGTTTGTAGGTGGAAAATCTGATCTGGGTCTCACTGGGGTAAATTAAAATATCACTATGGCTGGTTTTTTTCTTCAGAAGGCACTAGGGGAGAATCCATTTCTTTGCATTCACCCAGAGTCTCAAAACATTCCACAGCTCATGGTCCCCATCTTTCATCTTCAAAGCCAGGGGTTCATACATCCCCATGTTTCTCTTGTATCATACCTCTCTCTCCAACCAGAGCCAATAGAGCTTCTCCACTGGAAAACTCATGATTTCAGTGCATAATTCAGGACAGCTACTTGCATTTCAGCACATCCACACAATTCCTTTTGCCATGACTCCCTGCTAAATTGGAGAACAGTTATGTTGACCATTTTCAGAGTCAGCATCTAGGCAATGAGATCCCGGTACATATGCTGCATTTGAAGTGGATTTTGGACGTCACTGTACTGTTACAGAAACCCCATCCCTGCTGCTGTCTGCACCATGGGGTACAAGGAGTCATTTACGGGAGGAGTCTGCTCTGAAATGACCAGTGTGATGCCCTGTTAGACAACTGGGATGCTTTACATCAGGTAACAGAAAAGCTGTAAAAGTGAGAATGGAGTGCTGGAGGTGTGCTATCCCTTCTCATTAAATGACTATATATATTGCAACACTGATGTTCTCTTTTATTTGACCAAGGTTGTAAGAGAAAGCCATAAAATTTCCATGTTTTCACTTTCCCCATATCACCAATTCATAACAAGGCCCAAGTCCCTTAATTTACTCTGATCCTGAAAGCTATATTTGTCTTAACTTATAAACAATAGGAACTTGCTTATATTAGCATGTCCTCAGGTAAACTAATCTAGATGTTTCCTTGCAGATCTCCTTACTTGGACATAGGTATTTAGTTACTGTGCGATTCTGTGGGACTTGCTGCCTCTATCCCTTTCTGCCCTCAGCCCAGGTGCACACATCCCTGAAATCTGTCTGCTTGGTTCAGAGTCAGCATCTAGGCAAGCACTGGCCTCTCTGCAATTCTGCAGACTTTCTTAACTACAAAGTCCCTGATTTATGCAGCTGCTGTTTGTTTTGTTCCTCCTGTCCCTTAAAATGAGACAGATAAACTTTAACTTAGTGTTCATGGAAAAAAAATTGCAAACATCTTTTCTAAACTGAAAGATGTTTCTGTTCCAGAAACACAGTATCTTGGAGACATATATTCAAATACCTATACATTCTTTTCTATTCTATTCCCCTCAGTTTGTAACTCACACCTCAAATGGAAATTAGTAAATAAACAAAAAATACATTTTCTTTAGTGAAACCATTGCCCACTGATGGAGCATATCTCCAGTCCCGCTCTCTATCATGTAAGCATCAAAATTGATGATCTCATTTACTCTTACACGTTGGCACAGATTTTTGTTTAAACAACAGGAGTCTTTAATGAGTTATTTGTTGTAGTAAAATTTTGGAATCACATTTGCTATACATTTAATATGCTGATACCCATGCTTAGTAACATATTTATTCCTTTATTGTAATTTGGATAAAAATAGTTACCCAAACAGAATTGTATATAGTTATTCTGAGATAATCTAAGTAGTATAAAGGTAAAAGCAAAGAAAATTTTTGATATGTTCAGCCTAAGATTCATCCCAGAGTATGGTAGTAGAAAACCCTGCCCAAAGAACCATTTCAAAGACAAAAAATTGCCATGAAGATTTTTGCCTTTATACCTCTGGATACCTATGCTCAGTCTGATCTTTGTGTTTCTCCCATGACTTGTGTCATTGGGTAAATTCAGAGTCGCCTATTTTCTCTCCAGGAAACCTACAAATATTTCCACCTAATCCTTCTAGGACTCTGCAAAATTCAAGAAAAAAAAGTATCTTCCCAGTTCTCCTTACCTCAAATTTTATTTAAATCAGTCACTTATAATATCCAATTAGTTAAAATGAAAGATAATTTATTTGAACATCAGCAACATACACTGTGCTTGCCTATTCACTTCTTTCCTCCAAACAAAAGAATAGTATTTCATAATATATTACCACAGCCTTGTGGATCTTCTAATATGGAAATAGTAGGTATATGAGTGGGTTGCCTTTTTCTTTTGAGAGATCAACTTAAACATTGCGAAGTCCTTAATTACCCTCTCAAAGAAAACATGCACATCATGAGGTTTCTTTCTGACTTGATGCTTGAACAGAAGAAACATGAACAGAAGAAATGTCCCAAGCATTTCTCATCGACAGAATACAGCACTAGGTACTCATCATTTCTGCCTGTCCTTCACTTAGTCATTTTTAGAACACTGCTTCTGGACAGCAGCTTTTGTCACGTGTGTGTGTGTGTGCCTGTCTGGGTAGTGTGTTTTGCAAATCCCCTTGTCTTTCTGACTTAATT